CCTTATGTTCTCAGAAAACTGAGCTGGAGACCAGGGCATGCACGGATATTTTACTGGGAAGGGACCCTGGGAATCAGGAAAGAGAGGCAGGAGCCATGGTATAAGGGCTCCCAGTGCCACCACCACAAGTGACCGGTTGCTTTATCAGTGGGATCGTGACCTTCAGAATCAAGGGCAAAGCTTTCAGCCCCACTGGTCACAGACATCTCCTAAGGAGCACCAGTGCTGCCTGTGTTCTGGCCTGCTTCTGCCTGGGCATTTCTGGATTCCCATATTCTAAGTTGTGGGAAGTGACAAAGATGACTGACACCAGAGGATAAAAGGCATGGGGTGCCCGGCCAAGACGCAGCACCTGGGGTACCATCTGCACTTGCTCATGTACGTGTATTTGATCAGGAATGGGGCAAAATGGCCACCATAGCAACTGTTGGACTATGAGGCAGGTGTGGGTAAGAAGTCTTCAAGAGGTGCCCTTGGGTGTCTGGGACGTGCAGTTCCCTAAAACAGCCAGTGCCTGTAATCCCAGCACTCTGGGAGGCTGAGGCAGGAGGATTGCGGCAAGTTCGAGGCCAGCCTGAACTGCATAGCAAGACCCTGTCTCAAAAACAAAACCGAAAACATCTTCCGAGGGTTCCCTAACTTCCCACTCCTGGGACTCCTTTGTCCCCAATCTTGTCACCCCACTCATTTCCTGGGTGTTCCCTAGGGCAATCAGTTGTCCTCCAGTGGAGCTAACACTGCGAAGTTACTCCTTCCCAGCGAGGCCCAAGCCCACCCTTCCCGGCTTCCCTTACGACTCAGTCTTGGTTTGAGTTTCTCCGCTCAGGCTCAGAAGTTTTGCTAGTGCTGGCCATGGCAGGGGTAGCGATTCCAGAACCATGATTTTGTAAACACCTAAATTGCCTTGTGATGAAGTTACATGGATTTTTCTGGACTTGAATTCTGAATATGATGTCTTGCTTACTTATCAGCTTGCTGGTTATTATCTGGTTTCTTGGAGACAAGGTCTTGCTATGTAGTTCAGGCTGGCCTCAAACTCACAGCGAGCCTCCTGCATCAGCTTCCCAAGTACTAGGATTAGGGCCGTGCACCACCACACTTAGTACACCTGTTATATCTGCGTCTCTCTACTTTGTTTAAACTCTCTGATGCCAGGCACTTGCTTGTTTTTGTCCACTGTGTCCACAGAGCCCAGCACAGTGTCCTGTCCACAGGACATGCCCAGTAATGACCTGTCAGCTGGAGAGGGGATGGATGTAGAGGAGGGGAGGGAGGATGGTAAATACCCTTTTTCCAGCCTATACACTTTGGGATGTCCCTAGTGAGCTCACCCAGCCTCATTTGTTTAAATCTGAATCTCCAAGCTGGAGGTGGTAGCTCGTGTCTGTCATCCCAGCTGTCTGGGAGTCTGAAGCTGCCAGTAGGTGAGCTTGAGCCCAGCCTGAGCAATTTAGCAACTTCACAAGACCCTGTCTGAGAATTAATCAAGCAAAATAAAATGAAACAAAGATTCGGGGATGTAGCACAATGCAAAGGCCCTGGGCTTAATTCCCAGGAACACAGACAAGAAAGTGTATCTCCACACATAACCTGGCCTTGAACTCCTGGCAGTTCGGTCCAATCACTACGCAATGCTTCCGGTCAGATGTCAACAGGCATCTCAGCTATAACAGGTCCCAAACAGAGCGCCTAGCCTTGTCTCCAAGCAGTCTCCCACTGCAGGCCTCCCTAAGTAAACAACAGCTCTGTTCCTCTCGTCACTTGGACCACAAACCTGGGGTCGCCCCGGCTGCCCTCATCTCTTTCACATTTTCCACTCTGCTTCATAATCCTCAGGGCTCTACTTCATGTATTAAAACTCATCAGTCTCTCTGCCTTTGCCTTCCTAAGCTCTTAGTCATCTTTTTTTGGTACCAGAAATTGAACTAATGACCTTGCGCTTGCCAGGCAGGCGCTTAGGCCACTGAGCTACAACCCCAGTCCACTCTTAGTCATCTTGCAAAAAGATTGCTGCAGTGCCTGGTGTGACAGATGCTTCTGGAATCCTTGCCACATACCCTCACCTACTTCTGGTTCCAGCTCCAGCTGCAATGGATGGTTGTGTGCAAGCTCACCTCACCTTGTGTCTGTTCACCACCTTGACCTTCTCCAGGGCCCCAACCAATGGGGACAGGAACCAGTAGACAACTACCCAGACCCCCACCCCGTCCTCCGGGTGGCTCATTCAGAGAGCTTCCCGGGAAGACCTGGATAAACTGAGCCCCATTGTGCCCAGCAAAAACCTTGGTCACGGAAGCTTATACTAGGTGTCCCTCCCTGTCTCAGCTTCCTGTGCATTTGTCCCTGCTCCTGAGAATCCCATCCAGAATGATCTGCTGCACACAAGTCCTTGTGGGAGGCTCTGCTCTTAGAGGAAGCTAAACTCAGAAAATTTGCCCCAGCAGTCCCAGTAGGAAGCAGACTGCTAAGTCACATCAATGACCAGCTGGAAGTCCACGAGGACCCACTGCTGAGGATCGGTAGGTGCCAAGCAACCCTGCCCTGCATGCTGTAGCATCACAATGACCACAACAAAGGATCTCACTCGTGGCTGATTGGGCTGAGAGGTGAGAGGAAAAGGAAGGGCTGCAGCGCGCATCGCTAGACTGGAACAGGGCAGGAGCTGCGGTGATTACGAGGATGATGAGGTCCGCTGGGTTTTAACTGCTTTGGAAGCCTGGGAGCGAGGGAGTGGCCGTTGGGTAGCCCGCTGTCCACTCAGGATGTCCGGTGACAGCCGAGAGACCTCCAAAGCAGACAGAAAAGTGACCCTCACCTTCTGCACCAGCAGGGTGAATTGCTGAACGCAAGGGCTGGGATCTCACTGGAAGGCGGGGAGCCAGCCAGGCTCAGGTGTAAGAGGCCCTCACAGAACACGACAGAGCCCCGAGGCCCAGGGGCACATCTGGGTAAACCTGAGAGCCTCAAACCCTCTTTTCCTCTGCACTGCTTTTGACTCAAGGAGAGGCCTGAGACCAGGTCTCCATGTCACCTGAGCAGGAGAGAAAATGCTCAGCTGCCAGGACCCAGCTACCGCAGAGGGGAACACATGCAGAGAACATGTGTGGCCGGGGATCTTGGGGCGTCAGGTTATGGTGCAAACAAGTTTGCTGACCTGTTTTAAAGAGCTTTAGGATTGTTCCAGAAAATAGTCTGCAGTAAGGTAAGGATGCTAGGATTTCCTCCACTGAGGTGTTTTTGTTTTGTTTTGTCTTTGAGACAGAATCTCACAATGCCATTCAGGCTGGTTTCGAACTTGTGGCAATCCTCCTGCTTCAGCCTCCTGTGTGCTGGGATTACAGGCATGCACGACCAAACCTGGCTCCGCTGAGTTTTGAAGGATTCTGGGTGGTAAACACCTTTACTTATAATATAAAAAATAAAATACCTTTATACTATAATATAAAAATATTATATGTTTATATCATATTAAATATATTATATTTATTATATAAATATAATTTTAAACTTATATAGAATTTAGATTTATATAAATATTATATAAAAATATTTTACTATACTATAAAAAATAAAATACCTTTATTTAAGTACCTTTATTAAAGTACCTTTATTTTTTATAGTATAGTAAAAAATATAAATACAGCATAAAATTGGTCTATTTATTTGCAGTGCTAGAGATGGAACCCAGGGCCGCACACTTATCAGGCAACTGATTTACCATTGAGCTTTCTCCTCAGTGCATTTTTAAATGTCCAACTCAGTAGCTTGAAGTGCATTTGCAATGTTGTACAGCCCTTGCCACTGTCCACTTTATTCCAAATAGAAACTCTAGAGCTGGTGTAGTGGCGCATGCCTGCCATCCCAGCACTTGGGAGGCTGAGGCAGCAGGATCTCCATGAGTTCAAGGCTAGCCTCAGCTACATAGCAAGTTCAAGGCCAGCCTGGACTACAAAGTGAGACCTGTTTTGAAAAAAAACAAATTAAAAAAAAAAAAACCCAAACAGAATCTCTTACTTCATTAAATAGTAACTGTCCACTTCCCCATCCCCTTGCGGGGCAGAGTTTTGGTGAAGAGGTCAGAAGACTCTGTTGTGGGATGCTAGAATGGGGTTTATTACCAGAACAGAAAACCTACTAGCTAAGTGGGTTTTCCGTGGGGGTGTGGAGGACACTCCTTTCCCAACATGGTAAGGGATGGACTGGTCAGGGGGCATCAGGGAGGACACACTAAGGGTTCCATTCAGCCAGAAGCTGATCTCACTTGATTTTTTCCCTTCTAGTACTGGGGATTAAACCCAAAAGCATTCCCCCACTGAGCTACATCCTACAGCCCATATATATATATATATATATATATATATATATATATATATATGGATATATATATATATATATATTTCTTTTCTTTTTCTTTTTTTAAGAATTTGAGATAGGGTCTCACTAAGTTACCCAAGCTGGCCTAGAACTTGCAGCCTTCCTGGCTCTGCCTCCCTAGTAGCAAGGATTCCAGGGTGCACCACCACACCTGGCTATCATCTCATTTTATTTAGGCTCTATCCTGGCAGGGACAAGTGACTCCACTGAGCAGGAACTGGGGACAAGAGGGTTGACAGGATGTCTCTCGGTGCTTTTGTGTCCGCTAGTGGGAGTTCACATGTGCTTGTGGCAATAAAGGATTCAGACCCTGAGTGTGGCCATGGGTGAGATCCCTGGAGCCAACAGCAAGATGCCTCTGCAGAGAATCCACAAGTGCCCGTCCCCGCTGAGACTGGTCCTCACTGGGAATCTCTCTGGGGGCTTCGATCTTGTGCTCTGAGATTTGTCTTAAAGATCTCAGAGCATTTGGAAAAAAGCAACCTCTGTAAGCGTGATCCAGGCTGGTCCTGTGGAGATGACAGTTTATCCTTTTCAGCTCTCAAAGCCCTGGCCATTGGCAGAATGGAGTGACTTGAGATCCAGGGCAGGGCTTGGCAGGGTGCTGGCAGAGTAGCCAGCGAGCTGTTTTGGAATTTATCAGGATGAGGGTGGCCTCGGGGATGTGTGGTGAGTGTGCGTGCTGCATGCAAGCCCCTGAGTCCCAGGCTCTGGGAACTGTCCCCACTGTCCCCTGCCACGTGGCCCAACCTCCCATACCTGGGGTTAGGAGGTCCAAAGTGAAGCAGCTTCCTGTGTTTACCCTTTTGCCTTTGAAGAGACCTCGAGCAAGCGAGCAGCAGCCCTGGCGAGCCGAGGAGCCTGCCCCAGGACCCTGGGGGAAGCAGCTCCCCTCCCTGACGGGGATGCTGGAGCCCAGCCCCTCGCCGCCTCTGCAGGCAGCGGTGGTGGGAGCCGGGACTGAAGAGGTTAATGTGCATCTGCCTCCGAATGTTAATGTGTCTAGGTGATGTCAGTGGGAGCCGCGAGGGAGTGCGAGAGCATTGGGCTGGGAGGCGGCAGAGGCTATCGGGCTTCCGAGGAGGAAGACCCCCCATCCTGGCCTGCGGGGCTCGAGCTCCAGGACCAGGCGGCCAAGGGCGCTGGTGGCTGCCGCAGCCTGCGTGGGTGGACGGGAGCTCAACTCTGGGGGCGCAGGCGACTCACTGTGACTGCATGGACCTGCAATCCGCGCTGCTGCCCACTGGCCCCAATGCCAGCAACAGCAACACCTCCGATGGCTCAGACAACCTCACCTCTCCCGGTGAGCTGGACGCTGGGCTTGTGGGGTGGGATGTGGGGAGGTTTTCACTCTGAACCAAACTGCTTGGAAAACTTTATTATAGTTCTCAGGGACTAAATCTGTAGTCTGCTTTGCCTGGAGAGGAGACAGAAGAGGACAGGGGTGGACAGGGCAGAAGGGGGCAGGAGCTCAGCCCAGGGCAGAGGCAGTCACTGCTGGCAGTGGATGGTGGCTGGCAGCAGGCAGGCAGAAGAAGGCTGCTCATGAGTTTCAAATACGCTTTGCAGAAAGAAAAAAATAGGAGAAGCTGACGGGGAGTAGGTGGGCGACAGCAGGAGGCTCTTTCACTCACGGGTACCCTGGGCTCGGTAAGCACACAGGGTAGAGGGGTTGGAGACATCTTTACTGCCCCCTGGCAGAGGCTGTGGGAAGCAGAAGACTTTGCCAAGCAGGAGGGGATTAACTTTCCCAGTGAATTAAGCTTTCTGACATTTCCAGATCTGCAGTGCCCTGAGATTCTAGCTCTGAAGGAGAAGCGAAGGAAGGAAAGAGGAGCAGTTTGTGTGGAGACAGTGGTCGGGCTGCCGGGCTGCAATGCTCAGTTTCAGTCTCTGCCCCACTTGGAGGGTTTGGGGACACAGGGCAAGGAAATCCCTGCCAGGAAGGTGGGGCTGGGAGCCTGACCAGAGCACAGCTGGCAAATGCTCCTACGAGACGGTCCCCCACAGAGATGACCAGGAGTCAGTACATAGCTTCGATCCAGCAATCACTAAAATAAAATCATTGGGGTTACAAATAGGGAAAGGAAGCGAACATATTACACACACACACACACACACACACACACACACACACACACTCCCATGTCTTTCTTGCTTTTATGATGAGGTTTCTGGGAGAAGCCCAGGGACCCACAATGTAATTTTCAGGAGGCAGCTCTGTTTGTGGGTTCTTGTTTTGTTTTTTGTATCAGGAATGGAGCCTACAGCCCTCACACGAACCACATCCCCAGTCCCTTTTATTTTTATTTTGAGACAGAGTCTCCCTAAGTCACTAAGTTATCCAGGCTGGGTTTGCACTTGCAATTCTCCTGCCTCAACCTCCTGGAGTACTGGGATTACAGGTATGAGCCACTATGCCTGGCTTCAAATATTGTTCTTGACTCTGAGCCTTTAGAGTAAATGCAAGAGGGAAAGGACCGGGGCCTTGAACTAACAAGTGGCTTGGGAGAATCTGGGAGGGTTCCTGGGAGGACAGTGGAGGAGGACAGGGGGGCGGGATTAGCACAGTGTGGGGAGGGAGAGAATTCCAGATGAATGGCAAAGTCAGGGGGAGGATGAGAGGAAAGCTAGAGCAGGCTGAGAGGACAGCAAGGTGTCAGCTGCCAGTGACACTTGCCCCTTCTGCCCCTAGGGTCTCCTCCGCGCACAGGAAGTGTCTCCTACATCAACATCATCATGCCTTCCGTGTTCGGCACCATCTGCCTCCTGGGCATCGTGGGGAACTCCACGGTCATCTTCGCGGTCGTGAAGAAGTCCAAGCTGCACTGGTGCAGCAACGTCCCTGACATCTTCATCATCAACCTGTCTGTGGTGGACCTGCTCTTCCTCCTGGGCATGCCCTTCATGATCCACCAGCTCATGGGCAATGGGGTCTGGCACTTTGGGGAGACCATGTGCACCCTCATCACAGCCATGGACGCCAACAGTCAGTTCACCAGCACCTACATCCTCACCGCCATGGCCATTGACCGTTACCTGGCCACTGTCCATCCCATCTCTTCCACCAAGTTCCGGAAGCCTTCGGTGGCCACCCTGGTGATTGGCCTCCTGTGGGCCCTCTCCTTCATCAGCATCACCCCTGTGTGGCTCTATGCCAGGCTCATCCCCTTCCCGGGGGGCACTGTGGGCTGTGGCATCCGCCTACCCAATCCAGACACTGACCTCTACTGGTTCACCCTCTACCAGTTTTTCCTGGCCTTTGCCCTGCCCTTCGTGGTCATCACTGCTGCCTATGTGAGGATCCTACAGCGGATGACGACGTCAGTGGCTCCTGCCTCCCAGCGCAGCATCCGGCTGCGGACAAAGCGGGTGACCCGCACGGCCATCGCTATCTGCTTGGTCTTCTTTGTGTGCTGGGCGCCCTATTATGTGCTGCAACTGACCCAGCTGTCCATCAGCCGCCCGACCCTCACGTTTGTCTACCTGTACAATGCGGCCATCAGCTTGGGCTATGCCAACAGCTGCCTCAACCCTTTCGTGTACATCGTGCTATGTGAGACCTTTCGCAAACGCCTGGTCCTGTCTGTGAAGCCCGCAGCCCAGGGGCAGCTTCGTACCGTCAGCAATGCTGCAACGGCTGACGAGGAGCGGACAGAAAGCAAAGGCACCTGACCCCACCCCCTGTCACCCAGACATCTGCGAGTCCGGTCACCACAGAGAGTCATGGGGACAGATGCTGAGAAGGAGCCAGGACTACCCTGGGGGAAGGCAGGGAGGCTGGGGGCGAGGGGTTGTGGCAACTGCCTATTCCATGGGCTCCACGGACAGCTGGGGGAGCCTGGGAGCCAGGGTAGTGGGCTTCAGACATCAGAAATCCACTCGGGGGGGCAGCAAGATGCTTTGGTGGAACAAAAGCTGAGTGAAGAAAATGTTGGTTGAATGGCCTGCTGAGCCTGCATTTGTTAGCTCTTTGTCCCGGGGAAGCTGTGGTTTGTGGGGGCCCTGGAGGGGCTGGGAAAGGTGGCACGGCCTGGACCTCGCTCTTCCCAGGCCCTTATCACTGTGTTGGAAGGCAGCCTTTCTCCAAGCTGGTGGCTGAGGGCCAGTGAAGCCCGCGGGCGCTGTGGGGCCCCCTGTCTGTCCAGGGGATGCATGCATGTGCTGTGGAGCGGGGCTCTGACCCTATAGGAGAAGAAGGTGACCGAGTGGGGGGAGGTCTTGAAACTCATAAAAATGGGGGAGGGGACATCTGCACCTGCAGGGACATCTTCATTGGACCTGTTCATGTGGGTGGCTGATCTACAGCACTGTCCACGTGTGTGGGGGTCATTCTAGCACCTGGGGTGTGAACACCATCTTTCCTCCCCAGAATCAAAACTCAAAACAAATAAGAGAAAATCTCCACCCACAGCCCTCCGGATGCTCCTGTGGAGTGGCTCGGGCTCTGGGGTGGGGGTGGGGAGCATGAGAGGGAAACAGGGTGCTGGGTGCAGCATTAAGGGCTTCAGTTCAGCCTGCATTTTAGGGAGCCTCAAGAAGGGGGTGTGTTTGCTAAACTAGCGGGGAGAATTCAGTGACACTGATGGAATTACTGTGAGGTCATTAGATTGCAGCTCTGCAGCTGGGCTGGTTCCTGGCTTTTGCCCAAAAGCTGTGGGCCTGCGTTTGTCACTGATCCTGATCCTTCCAGACCCCGAGGCCCACGCCCACGTCCCCCTTGCTGAGTCACCAGCAGCAGGGCGGCCAGAGCCCAGTCTCCACTGGCCGCAGCTGAGAGCCCACTGGCACCTTGAGCCCATTACAGCCGGGGCCGCTGGGAGGCAGCCATGCTGCTGCTTCGCCCAGGGGTCTGGGGCTGGGCCGAGGCCTCAGCGCAGTGCCCGCTCCCTGGCGCTAATGAGGTACTGGCCAGACTGTCCAGAAGCGTCCTTGAAGCAGGAGCAGGCGCCCAGCCTGGTGCCCTTTTCACGCGGGTCGCTGTTCACAGCAGAGTTGCTGCCGAAGCTCTTTAGACAACTTCTGGGCCTGGGGTCCTGGAGAGCTTGCTTTTCTCTGGGTCCTTAGCAGCCGTGGTTCTGCCCAGCAAGCTGTTTTCCTTCCTGGCTAACAGCTGGGTCTCTGACTGCCACTGGGGGGCGCTGGTTCACGTGTAGCCAATAAAAGAAAAAGATGCTGGTGGGAGACTTGGGAGTCCGGCCTAACCGCCCGCCTGCTCCCTGAGGTCGCCTGCGGTCAGTTTGCCCAGTTTCCCGGGGAGTCCATTGCCCCTGCCCTGCCCCCTTCACCCTCGCACCCTCTACCCCTGCGCAGAGAGATACTGGAAAGGAAAGAGGTGAGGTGGCGTCGCCCAGGGAATGCCAGTGACCAAGCAGCTCCCAGGGAAGAAAACATCCGGTCCCCGCTCTCAATTCTGTGCTGAAGCTTGAAATGGAAGCAAAGTGCATTGAGTCAAAAAGTGAGTGGGTGGTAAGGTAAACAGCAGAGAGGGCACGCCAGACCTGGTTGCATACGCCTGCACTCCCAGCATTTAGAAGGTCGAGACAGGAGGTTGCATGAGGCCAGCTTGTAACACATCACAGTCCCTGTCTCAAAGAGAGTGGGGAGGAGAGAAGGGGGGAGAGGGCAGGAAGGTGGGAGAGAAGCGGGGAGGGAGATTACACTGGGGTGGGTGTCACTGACCATCCCTCCCCAGCCTGATCAGTAACCAGAACAGTCTTGAGAAGGCCTTGCTAGAGATAAGAGTGCTCAGGGCTCGAGGCCAGGTGGCCGGTGGGACGGGCTTCCTGTTGGAACTGCTAGAAATAGGGGACTTCAGGCAGGGCTGGTGGGCAGGTTGGAGAATGAGCAGGACATTCGGGGAGCCCTGCCAGGAGAGGGGCCACCCTGAGATGCAGAGGGAAGGGTGAAGGGGTGAAGGAAGAGGTGAGGTCCATGTGGCTGATCTCATTGCTTCTTTTCCATATCCAGTGTCTAATGGTCCCCTCACTCCCCCGAGCACCATCATCTCCACACACCCAGTGAGTGCTTCATGCACTGTGGCCTCCTGTTTTCCCAAGGAAATATTTCTGCTCCAACTGTGAGGAAGAGGCTATGAAACTTCCCCACAGGACAGGAGGTCCACAGTCGAGGCTAGGCCTGGGGTTGGGCACCGAAAGTCCAAATGGAAGCCTAAAGCCCTTCTACATGTGGACATTCACTTGCAAAGAGCAACAGCATCTAGGAAGGTGACTAAGAATGATCTTTAGTTATTTTCTGCATCATCCACTTTCATAGTAGTAGAATTTTTTTTTTGGGGGGGTTGGCCTTGAAATCATGGTGATCCTCCTGCCTCAGCCTCCCAAGTGCTGGGATTACAGGCATGCACCACCACATCTGGTAAAATTTATATAACATATACCTCAGTGGCATTCAGTAATTCACAGTCTAGTGGCAACCATCACAGCATTCATCTTCCCACACTGAGACTGCAATGCTGCAGCAACTCACTCTCCTCTCCTCCCCATTCCTGGTAATCACCATTCTGTTCATCACTATGATCCAAACTCCTCTAAGTACTTTGTGTAAGTAGAATCATACAAGAATTGTCTTGTTTTGTTGTTGTTGAGACAGGAACTGTGTAGTCCCACTGGTCTTGAACTTGCAAGGTAGCCCACACTGTTCTCGAACTCCTCACCCTCCCGCCTCAGCCTCTCAAGTACAGGCCCTACAGGCTTTCCCCACCCACACCTAGTTAATTGTTCTTTTGTGGGCTGGCTTATTTCACTTAGCATAATGTTCTCCAGTTTTCATCCATATGTTGTATGTGTCAGAGTTTCCTTCCTGTTGAAGGCTGACTAATATTCCTTTGTATTTGGGGCCCACACAGCTATTGGGGCCACTTCAGTCTTTCGTCCACTGTGGATACAAACGTGGATTCCTTTGGGGACACACCCAGGAGCAGAATTGCTGGATCATGTGGTGATCTGTTTAGCATTTGAGGAGCTGCCAGACTATTTACTATGGCAGTTGCACTGTTTACATCCTTACTAGCAACCTTCGAGGGTTCCAATCTCAGCACCTCCTCACCAACACACTCTTTTTCTAAAAGCCATTCTCATGAGTGGGGAGCAGGCTCATCGGGGCTTGGATTTGCATTTCCTAATGATTAGTGATGTTGAGCATCTTTTCAGGGGCTTATTGTTCATTTGCATAGATTCTTTGGAGGATGTATATTCAAATCCTTTATTTTAATTGGGTCTTTCCTCTTGTTACTATTAGCGATATTTTGCTCAACTCAAATTAATAATAATTGGTTCTATATGCCTTGTTACTAGGAACAAAAACAACAAAATATAAAGAAAAAACTAGGTTCTTTCTCCTCTGTGGCCCAAAGAAATATTTGCCCTTTAAAAAACTGAGCATTTGGATGAAGAATCACACATGTCCCCAGCCCTCTTCCTCCTCCCAATAGGTTGAAATGACTGTCAGAAAAACAAGGCAGATTAACGGTGGCAGGCAGCTTCCCCCAAGCACAGTCTTAGGTCTAACTCACAGAGGTCTGTCAGAGGAGACCTTTCCAGTCAGTCAGATGTGGTGCTATGGTTTATCTATAGATGTTCCCCAAAGCCTCATGTACTCATAGGTAGGGCTTTTGGGAGGAGGCTAGATCAAGGGTGTGGGTATAATACTGGATTTATCCTCTGATTGATTTAGCATAGTTCTAGGTGTGAATAATGAGAAGCCCCCCAGTGAATGGCACCAACCAATGAGCTTATAGCTAGGGTGGGATAAAAGGGAAAGGGAGGCTCGTTGCTTCCTGCCTCCTACCAGCCATGCCATGGACTGTTCCTCTGCCATGTGCTCTGCCTTGGAGCCAGCTGAGTGTGGACTGAAACCTCTACAAACTGAACTAAAATAAACTTTTTCCCCTTTAATTTGTGAGTGCCGGATATTTTGTTCCAGAAACGAGAAAGTAACTAAGACCCACGGAATGGATAAGCTGCCCTTTTAATTATCTGCAACACTTCCTCCTCATGGAAGAGGATGAATGCAGTGAGCAGATCTTATCTCAGCCAGCAGAACAGCAACATCTTTTATGGAAAAAGAAAAGTAATTTCTATTTGAATTTTATTTTTTGGTGCTGGAGATGGAACCCTAGTCTGTGGATGCTGAGTAAGTACCCTACCACCAAACTACACCCCTAGCTCTCTATTTTTTAGGGTCATTTTTATGCTAGGCATTGTGCTATGAGGAGCAATAAAAACTTCAGTGAATGGTTAAGTTTAAAAATTTATTACAGTAAAAGACACATTAACATTAATCTCCTGTAAAATACTCCCTCCGCCCCACTTTGACCACTTTTATCCTATTGTTTTTCCTCCTTTCTGAAGCTGTGCTAGAAGTTCTCCTTCATGTCTTTTGGAAGCTGCCTCAATGTCCTAAATTAATTCAAAATGTTTATACCAATTTCTGTCAAAAATATTATGGCGTGTCCTCATCCATCTTATTCACCAGATCTGGCACTGTGTGGCTTCTGGTTCTTCCCCAAAGTCAAAATGACCATGAAAATGAAATGTGAATCAACTCACGACATCAAAGAAGCCACAACTTTGCAACTGAAGACATAAAAGAGGATGTCCAGAACTGCTTCACCAGACGCATGAAAAACGGAGTAAGTGGATTCAAAGTGAGGGGGAATATTTTGAGCAATATTTGAGCAATGTCTTTTACTGTAATATATTTTTTAAAAATTAAACATTCACCATGTTTTTATCATTCCTCATAAGTAGTGCATTTTTTAGTAATTCATGTAATTCTCCCCATGTCAAAGATGTAACAGTTCCAAAATTGCTGAAAAGCCCAAGTCCAAAGTCTCCTCTGAGAACCCATGGCAAACTCTTAGCTGGGAGCCTCTGTAAAAGTCAAAAGAGAAGTTAAACATGGCCAACATAGAAGGGAATAAGGTA